GTACCAGGGGCATCTCATGGGGCCCCCGGGCAAAAGGGGATCATGGGGCCCCTATGAAAAGGGTACCAGGGGCATCTCATGGGGCCCCCGGGCAATAGGGGATCATGGGGCCCCTATGAAAAGGGTACCAGGGGCATCTCATGGGGCCCCCGGGCAATAGGGGATCATGGGGCCCCTATGAAAAGGGTACCAGGGGCATCTCATGGGGCCCCCGGGCAATAGGGGATCATGGGGCCCTATGAAAAAGGTACCAGGGGCATCTCATGGGGCCCCCGGGCAATAGGGGATCATGGGGCCCCTGTGTCTTTGTCCACACTCAAAAAAGCCTATGAAAAAGGTACCAGGGGCATCTCATGGGGACCCCGGGCAATAGGGGATCATGGGGCCCCTATGAAAAGAGTACCAGGGGCATCTCATGGGGCCCCCGGGCAATAGGGGATCATGGGGCCCTATGAAAAAGGTACCAGGGGCATCTCATGGGGACCCCGGACAATAGGGGAACATGGGGCCCCTATGAAAAAGGTACCAGGGGCATCTCATGGGGATCATGGGGCCCCTATGAAAAGGGTACCAGGGGCATCTCATGGGGCCCCCGGGCAAATAGGGGATCATGGGGCCCCTATGAAAAGGGTACCAGGGGCATCTCATGGGGCCCCCGGGCAATAGGGGATCATGGGGCCCCTGTGTCTTTTGTCCACACTCAAAAAAGCCTATGAAAAAGGTACCAGGGGCATCTCATGGGGACCCCGGGCAATAGGGGATCATGGGGCCCCTATGAAAAAGGTACCAGGGGCATCTCATGGGGATCATGGGGCCCCTATGAAAAAGGTACCAGGGGCATCTCATGGGGCCCCCGGGCAATAGGGGATCATGGGGCCCCTGTGTCTTTGTCCACACTCAAAAAAGCCTATGAAAAAGGTACCAGGGGCATATCATGGGGCCCCCCTACTGACCCCGGGCCCTCGGGCAGTGCCCAAGTTTCCAAATGGTCAGTCCGCCCCGGCCCCACACTACACAATTTCCTTTCAATTCCCTAAAGCTCTGCAGGGTGAGGACAGTCCCCAATCCCGCTTCCATCGTCGTGTAATTTGTCTCAATCCTGCCCATGATTCCAAATGGGGCCCTGTGATTGGTTCTATACATGAACCCCGTACTGGGCCGCTGATTGTTCAGTGTGTGGCGCATACAGCGATCTTCTCAGTCTGATTGTGTATCCTGTATATGAAGTCATCCCGTGTAGGGTCACCATAATGGCCAATGCAGTGATAAAAATGAGTCGATCTGATCGGAATATATACTCAAAATTGATCGAAAACCAACCTGAGTTCCCGGGTCTGTACGCCGGCTGCGCCCATTATGAGGAGTTCCCACCATCCCTGTGCTGAGTTCCCGGGTCTGTACGCCGGCTGCGCCCATTATGAGGGGTTCCCACCATCCCTGTGCCGAGTTCCCGGGTCTGTACACCCGCTGTGCCCATTATGGGGGGTTCCCACCATCCCTGTGCCGAGTTCCCATGTCTGTACACCCGCTGTGCCCATTATGGGGGGTTCCCGCCATCCCTGTACCGAGTTCCCGGGTCTGTACACCCGCTGTGCCCATTATGAGGGGTTCCACCATCCCTGTGCCGAGTTCCTTGGTCTGTACACCCGCTGTGCCCATTATGAGGGGTTCCCGCCATCCCTGTGCCGAGTTCCCATGTCTGTACACCCGCTGTGCCCATTATGAGGGGTTCCCGCCATCCCTGTGCCGAGTTCCCGGGTCTGTACACCCGCTGTGCCCATTATGAGGGGTTCCACCATCCCTGTGCCGAGTTCCTTGGTCTGTACACCCGCTGTGCCCATTATGAGGGGTTCCACCATCCCTGTGCCGAGTTCCCGGGTCTGTACACCCGCTGTGCCCATTATGAGGGGTTCCACCATCCCTGTGCCGAGTTCCTGGGTCTGTACGCCCGCTGTGCCCATTATGAGGGGTTCCACCATCCCTGTGCTGAGTTCCTTGGTCTGTACACCCGCTGTGCCCGTTATGAGGGGTTCCACCATCCCTGTGCTGAGTTCCTTGGTCTGTACACCCGCTGTGCCCGTTATGAGGGGTTCCACCATCCCTGTGCTGAGTTCCCGGGTCTGTACGCCCGCTGTGCCCATTATGAGGGGTTCCACCATCCCTGTGCCGAGTTCCTTGGTCTGTACACACAAATGGACGTACAGTTTCAGAGGATGAATAGCTGTGCGGGTTCCTTGTATATAAATACCTCCCGTTGTCCCATTTTAGGACCATTTAGATCCCACTGATCCCATCATCCACTGAGATGTAAGGACCCGCCTGCCCCAGACAAGTGTGGACTGGCCTGTACTGTGCTCACGGCTCTGACCCAATACCGATTTATCTGCTACATGACACTTACAATGAGTCCTGATGAAGAGGGGGGGGGGGTGGTTTTGCCTCCGAAACGTGTTGTATGTTGTAGTGTGGTCATGTGATCATTGCAGTCATTTGGACTCCTCCACCGTTTGCTGTGGTGCCCCCTTGTGTTGTACGGGGCTCCTGGCCGCACTCAGCAGAGGGGAGGCTAGCAGCCGGCCCAGTGCCAGTGAGCTTGCTGAACGCTGCCTTCCCTGCGGATCCATATCTGAAGTCCCAGCACCTTTCTATATATTAAAGTGGTGATAAACCCTCCCATGTATCCAGTGCAGCGACCTGCCGCAGGTTATATAAAGAGACGAAACAAATCTTCCTACGTAAGTTGTACCTTTTTATCTGCCGCCCTCTCTTCTCTACAGCCGTTCAAACGGCAGAATTTATACAGCTTGTCTGAGCTTTCAGAAAGCAGGGGGCGGAGAGCTGAAGTTACACTCTCATTAAGAGATGATTGGGAGGGAAGGGACACCCCTCCTTTCACACAGGAACAGGCCTGAAGCTGTCAATCACAGGCTGTGTGCTGGTGATCCCTCCCCTGTCACCATTTATTTCTTGGTGTCATTAAAACTTGTCAGAAGTGGCTCATGCTGATAGCAGAGGACTGAGACAAGCACACACTACAGAGGGATATGCTTTGTTCTGTATGCAGAGGAAGGAGGCAGCAGACAGAAATGACGCTCAGTGCTCTGGACTGAGACAAGCACACACTGTAGAGGGATATGCTTTGTTCTATTTACACTCGTCAAAACTTTAGCTCTGAGAAAATAATCAGGAATAGTTGGGAAAACATGTCAGAAGTGATTCATGCTGATAGCAGAGGATGGAGGCAGCAGACAGAAATGACGTTCAGTGCTCTGGACTGAGACAGGGACACACTATAGAGGGATATGCTTTGTTCTATATACACTATAGACTTGTTAAAACTTTAGCTCTGAGAAAATATTGAAGAATAGTCAGGAAAACTTGTGAAAAGTGATTCATGCTGATAGCAGAGGAAGGAGGCAGCAGACAGAAATGAGGCTCAGTGCTCTAGACTGAGATAAGTACGCACTATAGAGGGATGTGCTTTGTTCTATATGCACGATAGACCAGGGGTGTCCTCGCCCACACCCAAAAAAGCCTATGAAAAAGACAATGAAAGGTACCAGGCATCTCATGGGGCCCCCTACTGACCCCGGGCCCTTGGGCAGCGCCCGAGTGCTCAAGTGGTCAGTCCATCCCTGCTATAGACTTGTCAAAACTTTAGCTCTGAGAACATGATCAGCAATAGTCAGGAAAAGGTGTCAGAAGTGATTCATGCTGATAGCAGAGGAAGGAGGCAGCAGACAGAAAAATGACGTTCAATGCTCTGGACTGAGACAAGTACGCAGTATAGAGGGGTATGCTTTGTTTTATATACACTATAGACTTGTTAAAACTTTAGCTCTGAGAAAATAATCAGGAATAGTTGGGAAAACTTGTGAGAAGTGATTCATGCTGATAGCAGAGAAAGGAGGCAGCAGACAGAAATGACGTTCAGTGCTCTGGACTGAGACAGGGACACACTATAGAGGGATATGCTTTGTTCTATATACACTATAGACTTGTTAAAACTTTAGCTCTGAGAAAATATTGAAGAATAGTCAGGAAAACTTGTCAGAAGTGATTCATGCTGATAGCAGAGGAAGGAGGCAGCAGACAGAAATGACGCTCAGTGCTCTGGACTGAGACAAGAACACACTACAAAGGGATATGCTTTGTTCATATTTCACGTCTGAGGTTTACAACCACTGTAAATCCTGGAGCCACCTACCAGGTAACGCGCCTCTGTTGGGTCATTTCACGTCTGATGGGGACGGACCTTCAATCGTCCGCTGCGGTTTTGCCGACTGTGGCCTTCGGAACCCTCCTTCATATCCTGGGTGGCGGATGCGTCAGTTTCCGAAGATGCGAAGTGACACTGAAGACTTCCTGAGACAGACTCAGCAGATCATCCCCGATTAATGCCGCCTTAAGAGGTTTTATCCTGAAAGTGGAGCTCTCCAAGAATTATCGTGATCAGGTTCTTACGGGCGACGCTAGCGCCTCGCACTTCCCTTAAGCTCTCGGGGAAGGAGGGCCGCCGCAGATTTGGAGGCTCTCCCTGATGGATTAATGACTCAAATTATCATTTTTATTTCAGCCGCGCTTTCGCTGTGGAAAGCCGTAAAGAGAGCTTGACACCGGATTGTAAGTTATCCTCCAAAACGGCTTTTCAGCTGGAAACGGCGAGGAATTAGAGGACGCGCTTCTCGGACGAGCGGGGACTCTTCAATTGGGGCTCGCAAGTCGTGTTAAAGGGGAACTCTGGGAAACATAGGAAAAAGGGCCTTCAGGTCCCTTATTATTCCTTTTAATTGCTATTTCAGTCCAGCTAGTGTCCTTAGCTGAAATCAGGCTTGCAGTGGGTGTGTCTGCTCTGTGATGGGCAGGCAGATGACACATGTCAGATACATGTAAATGAACCTTCCATTTGCCTGACCTGCTGGGGGCAGATGGGTAGATTTCAGCATCGGTAAACTCAGGACGGACTGACAACTCATGGGGCCCCCGGGCAATAGAGGATCATGGGGCCCCTGTGTCCTTGCCCACACTCAAAAAAGCCTATAAAAAAGGTACCAGGGGCATTTCATGGGGCCCCCTACTGACCCCGGGCCCTCGGGCAGTGCCCAAGTGCTAGAATGGTCAGTCCGCCCCTGGGTAAACTGCTGCTGTATCAGTTTGTGGCGGGACTGGTAGCTCTGGGTGCAGAAGGTGGCTGTAGGGTTCATTTAGGCCCCATGCGCACTGGGCAGTTGGTCCCGGTCCCTGAGTTTCTGGCCTTGAGCCACGGGTATAGGGCACATGTGAGCCTTCCAGCTCTTCTTGTCAAACTCTACGAGAGGCTAACAGCTGGTCCCGTACAGTAAAGGAAGACTAGAACCCAGGGGCGGACTGACCATTTTGGAACTCGGGGACTGCCCGAGGGCCCCGGGTCAGTAGGGGGACCCATGAGATGTCCATGATACCTTTCATAGGCTTTTTTGGGTGTGGTTTGAGTGTGGGTGAGGACACAGGGGCCCCAGGATCCCTTATTGTAGTTGTCAGTCCACCCCTGCTAGAACCCCTGTTAGATAATTATTTTCTGACATTTGCAGCAATTGGTGCAAAGCAAGGACATCCGAGAGCCCCAGACACCACACAAAGACCTGCGACAACCAGAAATCCAAAAAGTACACAAGATAGTCTAATAATTGCTGTATGGCTTGTATAGTAGTCCTTAATTCCTGGTATTGAAAGGTTTAACAGTGGCTGCTCCCCCAAGAGACCAGGGAGATACCTGCAATAGAAACACCAGCAACAGGGGGGCCTTCTAAGTGCAGTATCTAAAGCTTTTATTGGAAGAAGCCAAATGGCTACTCGCCAGAATTCAGTGCCCAGCCATGGAATGGTCTTCAGGACCAAGCATGTGTTCCACAGTGGTTCCGATGCCTTTCGGCCTTGAATGGCTGAGCTGACTCTTCCAGCACCGATGGCTGCTCCCCCAAGAGACCAGGGAGATCCCTGCAATAGAAACACACGCAACAGGGGGCGCCTTCTAAGTGCAGTATATAAAGCTTTTATTGGAAGAAGCCAAATGGCAACTCGCCAGAATTCAGTGCCCATCAACAGAATAGATGCCAAAAATCCCATGCCAGTGGGATCCACCAGTGGAGAGGGATCCTAGTCCTCCAGTGCTGGTGTAGTAATTTCGGAACGATCTGAAACACCGTGGACAGGTTACAAATGTAGGGTTAAAGCTTAATGTTAGGATCAGGCTTAGTGTTTCGATTAGAGTTCAGTGTTAGGATCAGGATAAAAGTATAGATTGAACTTCAGGGTCGGGCCTTGGTGTTAGGATCAGGCTAAGTCTCTGTATTAAAGGTTAGTGTCAGGTTAGGAATTGAGGGTTAGAGCTCAGTATTGGGATCTAAGTGTTCGGATTACGTTTTAAGCTTTTAGGGGTTAAGGAAACTCCCCTCTTGGACAGCTGATACCCTAACAGGTTCTCCAGGCCTCCCCTCTATTCCTGTTGTATTTCTGAACACTTTCAGTCTTAGTGCCCATGGTCATCAGGTCAGCAGGACAGTGTGTAGATTATAGATTAGGGTCAGGGTAAGTGTTTAGGATAAGGGCGGAGTGTCTGCATCTGGGTGTTGTCTACGTTTCTGGGTAAGGGTTAGGTTAGAAGTGTTAGGATCAGGTTATGGTGGGGGGGGGGGTTCTGATCTTCTCATACACGTATTCTGTACCAGTTTGGTCATCCTTGGATGAACTGATAGAGACAATTGCTGTTTTCTGATGAAATCTGTCTACATGAAGAAGGACATTTGTCTGGAGCTCCTCCTTAGGATAGATTCTGGAGCTCCTCCTTAGGACAGGTTCTGGAGCTCCTCCTTAGGACAGATTCTGGAGCTTCTTCTTAGGACAGATTTTGGAGATCCTCCTTAGGACAGATTCTGGAGCTCCTTCTTAGGACAGATTTTGGAGATCCTCCTTAGGACAGATTCTGGAGCTCCTTCTTAGGACAGATTTTGGAGCTCCTCCTTAGGACAGATTCTGGAGCTCCTCCTTAGGACATTTTCTGGAGCTCTTCCTTAGGACATTTTCTGGAGCTCCTCTTTAGGACAGAATCTGGAGCTCCTCCTTAGGACAGATTCTGGAGCTCCTCCTTAGGACAGATTCTGGAGCTCCTCCTTAGGACAGATTCTGGAGCTCCCCCTTAGGACAGATTCTGGAGCTCCTCCTTAGGACAGATTCTGGAGCTCCTCCTTAGGACAGATTCTGGAGCTCCTCCTTAGGTCAGATTCTGGAGCTCCTCCTTAGGACATTTTCTGGAGCTCTTCCTTAGGACATATTCTGGAGCTCCTCCTTAGGACAGATTCTGGAGCTCCTCCTTAGGACAGATTCTGGAGCTCCTCCCTAGGACAGATTCTGGAGCTCCTCCTTAGGACAGATTCTGGAGCTCCTCCTTAGGACAGATTCTGGAGCTCCTCCTTAGGACAGATTCTGGAGCTCCTCCTTAGGACAGATTCTGGAGCTCCTCCTTAGGACAGATGCTGTGAGCTGATTCAGACATATTTTGGAGTGAAGTGAGACTCTCCCAGCATTCCAAGTCCTCTCTTCCCACCAGGCGAGTAGGAGGGAAGGCTGTGCCCTGGCCTGGAATACATTGCAGCTGAGGTTCATTCATCATTCCTGTTTAGGGGATTATCCTCCTCTGACATTGGATTTCTGGAGAATGTACACACCATTGTTATCATGATGGGGGTCATATCTAGGTCAGAAGGAAATCGCAGTTTTAGACATCGCTCTGCAAGAATATAAAGGGGGACACCGCACAGAAACCAGAGTGTAGGGATCCCGCTGGCCTGGGCCTTGTAAGGAGGACCAGTGGTACTCTATTATCCACAGCCCTGACCACAAGGCCACTACCCCTCTGCATGGACACGACAGTGACCTAGCCATTGGCAGGTGGCACCATGGGACACAAAGGGGGACCAGGTACCCCACACACTAGGAAGGGGGTCTGACGCTGAAGATTCTTTGGCCAGCGTATCTCTACAAGAGAACAAAGATTGGAGGTTCCACCTGCCGTATAGGTAGCTGTTCTTTTTGTTTTTAAAATGTATTTTAGGGACGTAATCGCTTTATGTTTAGGATTCCCAGGAGTACCTGTGCCCTGGGTGCCGGGTCACATGACAGTGCGGTCAGCAGCTCTTTTAGCACTGGCTGCTGTACAATGAGGTGATACACCGTACTAGATGTCACCGTCACAAGCAGATAATAATCTAGCTTATATTGTTCTGTTCATTCTTCAGTTGGTGACACAAACCCCGTTCACACTTGTGCTTCTGCGATTTGATAAACTTGCAATGCGTTTATGTCGTGCCACTTGGTTGTATTGTAACACGTTTTTGATATGGTTTTTATTCTACTGCATTATTTTGGTAGGGGAAGGAGAGTGGATGCTGGTTGTTAAGGAGACAGCACCCACCAGCTTCCTAGTAACCAGTGACTTATCCCTGCTATCAGCCAGGGATTCCCAGCTGACAGCAATGGGGAGTCATTGGTTGTTAAGGAGCTGGCATCCACCCACATCCTAGCAACCAGTGGCTCATCACTGCTGGCAGCCAGGGATTCCCAGCTGACCGCAAGGATGAGTCATTGATTGTTAAGAAGCTGGCACTCAACCGCATCCTAGCAACCAGTGACCCATCGCTGCTGGCAGCCAGGGATTGTCAGCTGACAGCAAAGGGGAGTCATTGGTTGTTAAGGAGCTGGCACCCACCCGCATCCTAGCAACCAGTGACTCATCACTGCTGACAGCCAGGGATTCCCAGCTGACAGCAAGGGGGAGTCATTGGTTGTTAAGAAGCTGGCTTCCACCCGCATCTAAGCAACCAGTGGCATATCACTGCTGGCAGCCAGGGTTTCCCAGCTGACAGCAATGGGGAGTCATTGGTTGTTAAGGAGCTGGCACCCACTCGCATCCAAGCAACCAGTGACTCATCACTGCTAGCAGCCAGGGGGAGTCATTGGTTGTTAAGGAGCTGGCACCCACCCGCATCCTAGCAACCAGTGACTCATCCCTGCTAGCAGCCAGGGATTCCCAGCTGACAGCAAGGGGGAGTCATTGGTTGTTAAGTTGCTGACAACTGCTGGCGTTCTAACAACCAATGACTTATCCTGGCTACGAGCTAGGGATTCCTGTCTGACAGCAGAATGTAGACAGAGGAGCCTGTCAGTGAATCAAAAATGCATGAAGGTTCTCCTACAATCCATACCAGGCCCTGTTGATGAGGACAAGGGCCTCTTCCCCACAAACCTGGCCTGGTGGTTGTGGGGGGATATTATCGGAATCTGAAAGTCTCAAATAACAATAAAGGGGGCCCCCAGATCCTGTCCCACCATATGAATGAGAAAGGGGTACATATTACCCCTACTCATTCACCAAAAAAAAAAAAAAAGTGAAATAAAAACACAAGCACCATTTTTCAATCTAGTCATCCAGCAATGTAGGTCCAGGACAATCATGATGATGTCATTGACCATATATGGACATGTCTGGGTGACCCTATGATGTCATTGATCACATATGGGCTCTAACCCTTTCATCAGCCTCCCCCTGAAGTAAGCCCATACCCTTGTGCTGGGGTCCCGTATGCCATCTTGGGACAAAAAATAACTTTGATGTCTCTTGGGCTGAGTTGGGTCATCTGCATGTACCCTAGGAAGCATGTGGGCTGAGACAGTTAGGACCTCTTCATATCTTTGCTTTGTGATAAAGTGCTATAAAGTAGCAGGCAATCAGGGGCGGACTGACCATTTGGAAACTTGGGCACTGCCCGAGGGCCCGGGGTCAGTAGGGGGCCCCATGAGATGCCCCTGGTACCTTTTTCATAGGCTTTTTTGGGTTTGGGCAAGGACACAGGGGCACCATGATCCCCTATTGCCCGGGGGCCCCATGAGTTGTCAGTCTGCCCCTGCAGGCAATGGACCTGCACTGCAACGCTCTACAACGCACATGCCCCCCCAGGGTGAACTTTGCCCCCACCTCTTCTTTTCCTCCTTTTCTTGGTGCTGGTGAGCATGCCGGACCAAGGTGAGCACCCACTCCCTCTGCTGGTAGATGTCTAATACTGC